GGCTTATAGCTTATTTGATTTGACAATCGAGAAAAGTCAAACCTTATCCGGCAAACCCGATAAAAAAAAAGGGATTTATTCGTCGAAGCTTGCCGCATTTTATTTTTAGACGGTCAGTTATCCAAACCCGTTTTTCTGAAGCCAAAAATATTTTTAGAAAGAACATATTACATTTATAAAATATAATTTGGGAGGGTCCCCAAATACTACACACACTCACAATATGATTTTAAGAGAATATTTAAAAAATATGTCAATTTTATTCTATATCCGGTATTAATGGGGTTAGAGAGAGATTATACAGGGTATTGTAATTTTTAACTAAAATAATAACATATTTTTTCCTTCATTGAAGTACTCATAAATAATCCACATTTTTTCTAACCTGATAGTATTATTCTCGAGCACGTAAAATTAGTAAAAGTAAAATAAACATACTTTCAGTGAACCAATTTTAGCATAAAAAAATAATTTGAATCGGTATATTTCTGTTCTATAATATTTTATAGATTTTTTATTTTTTTATTAAATACAAAGTTTTTTTAGTTAAAAACAAATAAAAAAAAAGTAAATTTACCATGTATTTATACTAAATTGACTAAATAAAAAAAAGAACAAATTTTTTCAACAAAACATAGACATGAAATCAACGGTTTTAAATTTGTTCTCAAAATTAAAACTGGCCGAGCGGTGGTGGGTGAATTTTACTCCATCTTATTGTTTTAAACATAATATTCGTCATTAAAAACGGCCAAACTTCTTCCTCTAAAATGAGTAAATTAGTTGAAAAATCTGATCATTTGAGTAGTTATTAAAATTAAAAAAATAATTTTCAAATTTCATAACAGTAGAGAGAATGTGTAAAACTGTCTTCAACCCCCTATAATATAATATAACACTTAGCATAACAGATTACAGATTACAAGCGTTGCTAAAAATACTTATTGTTGACTTTCTTACTCACCAAATAGATTAATAAAAGTTAAATAAAAATTAAATTAAATAAATAAAAATTCAACAACAATGATCTTTTGTTGTTTATTTATTGAATCTATATTTCTGGTCAATAAACATAATGCGTACAAATTTAAAATAATGAAATTGTAATACTTATAAATTGATCAGTTTTCATTTTACATTTTTTTCCAGTTTTTACGAATTATTATGAAAACTAATTGAAAAAATCAAAAAAAGAATTACTTACTCACCGACTTATTCTATAAAGAACTCTATTAAAAATTTAACAAAAAGCATTTCATAGCATTTTTTAATTAAAGCAATATTTCTAGAATAAATCATAGTTTGCAAAGATTAAAAACAATTAAATCGGTAACTCCGTAAATATATGTCGTTTTACTTAAAAAATTTTTTCCGGTTTCTTCTAATTATTTTAAAACCCCTTGGAAAATCAAAAAATAACCTCTTTAATACACTAATTAAACAAAAATATCTTTCAGAAATTTTGCTATACTCTATATATCGGAGCAAAATTTCTTTTTAAACAGAAAAAAAAAATAAAAGCATACATCATAATAGTAAAACCAATAAATCCCTCGCTATGCTCCGATTCTAAAACGAAAAAGAAAATAGTGGGTACATGAGGTTAGGTTAGGTTTTTTCCCCGGTTTTCCTCAATTGTTATGAAAATCATTTGGAAAATCAAAAAAATGACCTTATTAAAATACCAACTAGATAAAATTTCATTTTTAAAAATGTGCTACAATTTAATTCGTCAGAGCAAGGTAGAAAATTTGCTCGCGGTATACTGATAAAAAATTAAAAAACATCTTTTTAAATCCAACACATTTCTCGCTATGCTCCTTTTCTAATAACAAAATAATAATAAGTAACACATCATAGTTAAACCGATACATTTCTTGCTACGCTCAAAATCTAAACAAATTACAAATAATGATATTCAAACTGTATATATTGTACAAGCTATTAACGGTGATTATTGATTGATAATAATTATTATGACGATATGAGTAGCCGTGTATTACAATAACATTACACCTCAATACCCCTAAACAACAAATAATGTTATTTAATCGAACCACCGGATAATTTTATTGAATAATTAATTAAACCGGGTAAGTTTTGAAATTTAATTAATTTCTAAAACATTTTCGAGATTCTTCGTATGATATAATTAGACTATAATATCAGGTAGATACCTATATTTCATAGTGTTAAACTTGTATACCTACTAATTTTTGGAATTCTGCTTAATTGTACACACACACACATATTTATCAATACATAAATATAATTAAAACATATTTACCTACCACACAAGGCAATACTTGAAATCCAAAATGTGTAGATCAATTGTTAGTAATTATGTTGGGTTCATTTCGCCACTTTAAATATAATAATATTTTCTAGACTAAATCTAACAAAATGTTCAGTGCATTTTTTCCTGACAAGTCCTTCGTATACACAAAAATCATTATTAAACTTTAACATATTATTACTTCGTTTAATTTAGAATTTCAACCAGATATTGGCGATATTTGTTTTTTTTCTGTTTATATACAATATTGTTCAATTTTATTTAATACTTTAACGTAATAAGTAGGTATAAATGCATACGTTATTTATCGTTTTATTATAGTTATGATTTACATAAACAAATCTACAAATTGTGTCAAAATTATATTATTTAAATCTGTGTATAATATAATTTCCACTTACGATTTAGGAACGATGCGAGTTTAAGTAAAGGCTTGAAAACGTTAACGAAATCCTAGCGGTTAGCTAAAGTTAAAATATATCATTAATCGCTTTAATTGTTTATTTCCCTCACGTGTATAGTGTATACAGTATAATGCTTCACATCGTTGTTGTTGCAGAGTATTTGAATAATGGATTTCTTGACAGGTGTGCGAACAGAATTCAACCTATATATTATAATCTATGCTATGATAATATTTGCCCTCAAAAATCGATAATCTATTTATCATTTCAGAATAAAATTCAAATTAGACACTTTATTAACATTTAACTTTTATTTATATACAAAACAAACTATTGTAATAAAAATTACCATGTTATTTTAAAAATTTAAACCGTTTGTAAATTCACAATTCAATAACAGCTAGATGTAAATAGGTGTATCTACAGAATATAGAACGGTATTTAACAACATTGAAATATTTCGGTAAATAACTTTGGTATAAATATTCTGTAAACCGTCTTATGTTTAAAAAAAAAAAAAAAAAAAAATGGTCCTACATATTTTATAAACATTGTTTAATATTTTATATTTTCACGGATAAAGTGCATAAGATTTGAATATAGAAATATGGCACTCGACTCAGTTATGATATTATTTAAATTTTTAGGGACTGCAGAGGGTTTTAACAGTTCTGCGGCAAATCCATAATCACAAAATAAAGGTTTATTTCAAAAAATACTTTTTGATAGTTTCGAATGGTACAATAAATCCTAAATCATTTTGCGGAACAATAATTCGAGTCTACCTATACTTGACACGGTCATTTGGACTCAAAAAATTCTGGGTAAAAGGAAGAGCGGCGCCGTAGCAATACGAGGATCGGTTTTGTTCCTGACAACGATTTGAATTTGCAATCACAATGACCGGTGATTATTTATGTATTGTAGAATACGGTATTAAAACTAAAACAAAAATACCGTACGACTTATGGATAGAGAAACATATCCAGATAGTCTCTGAAAAACAATAGAGGAAGCAATAACCTTGCTACTAACAAAAACCGTCAATAAATTGAAGTTTGATACAATTTATGACATAATATATTCAAATCTCCAGTATCAACTAATTAAAAATGAGTTTCATGGTTGAAAAAAATTAATCTATGAATTGTCTTTGTCTGTAACTGCAGTTACTTCATCATTAGCTTCACCAAAATCTTTTCTTGGAATATTTGGAATCAACGTTTTGGAACGAATTCGAATGAAATATTTAGACACTTTATGTTACTACCGCGATGCTATTTTAACGGTTATACCTAATCTAATCGAACTTGAACGCTGTATAAACTGATTGTCCCTTTCTCATGAACAATTTTGAATACCTAGTGGACTTGTCTTTTTGTTGCACTGAGCCTTTTTTAAATGAATGTATTTTACAGAAAATCAAAATAAATAGATGTAATTCTTAATCGTTGCGCCTATTTTTTTTTTTCTATTATATATAATTTTAAATTAGAATTTGTATATTTGCTTATTACTATTATTATTATTCAAAAATAATATTACACTTTATATAAATTGTACAGTCGTCATAATTTATTTTTTATTAAATTAATATATAAATATTATAATTCAATGGACGATTATATTTATTTTTCACCGTCTTTAATAATGAATAAGTCACTTACACATTAGAATATATCATAATCTTGAGATTATATAATATTATGTAGCGTATTTGTATATATAGATATATGTGACTATTGAATTTGCATAATTGAAATATGTACACTAAAAGGAATTTGATAATATATATTATTAACTATATATGAATAATTTCATACGAATAATACAGCGAAATACGCGCGTCTACAAATTGTATAGAACAACCAATATACATTATGAAAATAATTACACTGTAATTTATAATAAATGTACAATATCCTGGAAATTTACTTGAATTAGGTATTAGACATTTTAAGATTACAAATAAATATGGCGATCTAAACTTTGTGTAAAAATGTACCAGTGACTAAATACGTTAACTATTATAACTATACTATATCAATATACATTCGCGTTTGAGCGTCCCAACTATTCTACCATACGAACATCCAATCTCTCCAGAGTTTCCCATTCCAAAATGTTTCGGAATTTTTTTTTTTTTTATCTGACTTTAGTTCGGACTAGTTGTTACAGTTATCTGTTTCCATTATCAAATACTATATATGAATTGTTCAAAGTGCAATTGTGTGTTTGCTATTTCCGATTGTGTTAAATGCTCAAAATGTTCTTAACTGCATCATATTGCCTGTTCGTCTATGTCTGGTTTGACTGGAAATAATCTTTTACCACGTTGTACTTCGTGGCTGTGCACTACTTGTGAGAATGCAAGATTTGGAGTCAGAAAATCTCCGATATCTCAATCAATTTCGAACTCTTTAGATGCCGATTACTTATTAAAAATAAATAACATTCTTTTGACGGTAATTGAAATGAAAAAATCAGTTTTTAAATATGAATCACTGTTTTCGAAACTCAAAAATAAACTCGACAAAGTTTCTAATCAACTGCTCGATTTGGGTGGTCGTTCTTTAGTGCTCGAAAATAGAGTCACCCAATTAGAAAACCGTTTATCTAGTAAAACTCTTACTCGGATGTGTCTATAATATCCGAAGTTATTGATCGACAGGCAAGATCCTATAATATAATTATTTTTAATGCTCCAGAATCTGATGGAAATAACGGGAACAATATGTCACTTATAAAATCTTACATGAAATAACTCCAAATATTGTTTCAGCAGTAGCCTTTAAACTAGGTCAAAAATCAAACAAATATCGTCCACTTAAAGTTACGTAACATGAGCCGTTGGATGTTTTTATTGTACTTAAAAATAAGCACAAACTGCGTACATCTTCTATCTACAGGTTTTTTCGTATATTGTACTATACTCCAAATTGTACTATAGTGCAACGAAACCAACTTCGCGATACCATAGGTAAACTTGAAAAGCAGCCGGTGAATCTAACTTGGTCAAGAAGTTTATTAAGGGTATACCAACGATTTCATAAAACTAATAAACGGTCTAATTCGCAAAAACATAAATTTTTATTATCAGAATGTTTGCGGAATCAATACCAAATTAAACACTTTAATGCATAATGTTATTTTAACCATTTTTAAGAAAAAAATTGCGCATAAATTGCATAAAATTTCTGGTTTGGTTAGTGATTATAATTCCTTTTCAAATCTTTGTGCGAAATGTAAATTTTTGTTGAAAAAAGATTATCAAAATTACATTAACAATATTCAAACAAATTTAAAAACCAGACTTTATCAATTTTGGAAATTTAACAGTAAACGCAAAAATAATTTTTTAACCAAATAATATGTATTTTTCAACACAGATCAATTTAATACCTCTAATGATATTGCTAATGCTTTTGCTAATTACTTCTCTAGTATTTATGAAAACTACAATTATTTTAATGCAAATTTTAAATCACATTATCCACCCAAAGTTCTCTCTTCTTCACCTCACTCTTGCTCGATTGATATAAAGAAGGTATTTGAATCTCTTAGCTCCCTAAGTTCTAATTCCAGTCCAGGTCCTGATTTAATACTATAAATGTATAAGTTCTTTGATTTTATTTTATCTGTTTAATTTATCACTCTTATCAGGTATTTTATTCGACCTATCTCTAAGTTTTCTTGTGATATATCCAATATTTAAAATTACCTTGCTTTCTCTCATAGCTAAGTTGTTTGAAACGATAGTTGCAAATAATGTTTTATCTGATTTAAGTAATGTGATCGTGGACGATCAGCATGGTTTTTGACGAAATAAATGTACGATAACTAATTTACTTAACTTTCAAAATTTTGTATCAGAGGCCCTTTCTAGTGGATCAAATATTGATGTCATATACACTGATTTCACTAAGGCTTTCGACTACATATTACATCAGGTGTTCCTCAAGGTTCCCATTTAGCACCAATATTATTTCTTATTTTTATTAATGGCATTCATTGTCAAAAATTGCACTAAATTAATGTTTGCTGGTGATATGAAAATGTTCCGTATTGTTAACAATCAAGTTGAAGCCGATTTACCTCAATCTGATTTGGATACTCTATATGAATGATGCATAAACAATAAATTATTATAATCTTAATATCAATAAATTCCAGATAATGACATTTACCAGAGCTCGTACAGTTTCCACATTTAATTACAATATCAATGGTAAAACATTGCATCACACTACAGGACCTATTAAAGAACATGTTATTTTTTTGAGCCTTGACTTAAATTCGAATGTCTTATTAACAACATTGTAAACAAATCAATCAAAATTAAAAATTGAAAAAATGTTCGTTTAAGATGTTTACAGGAAAAATTGACTGTCCTGAGTTCCTAAGTACCCCTACTCGTAACATCGTGTCTTTAAATACATATTATCTTAACACTGAAGTAACCAATCATTAACCAATTAATTATTACCTATACCCCCCTCAATAGAATTATTAAATCTATAAACCAATTAAAAATCGATCTGTTCATATCATCAAATTTAAACCCATTTAAAATATATTGTTAATTCTTAGCTATAAGTATTATATAAATTGTATACACATTAATTGTATTGTATTTTATTGTTAACGAACATCTATTATCATAATAATATATGTAATTAGACCTGGATTGTTTAAAATTTAAATAAATAAATCCATCTGACAATTGCGTACTTCTTGGCAAATTTTGAACTACGGTAGTAATTATTTCGTTATCATTAATGCCTTTTTATATTTATACTAATAGTTAACCATTTAGGTCTATTTTCTTACATTACTCTTTATTAAATACGTTTTCATACGATTCAGGGGAAAAAACATAATATCTCAGGTGTGGAAAATATAACTAGAAACGTATTTAATGCTTGAGTCGTAAAATAGTATGCATATATAAACACGCCACCTATAAGGGGGTTATAACATCCTTAATTCCCTCCTTGGCTAGGTCACTGTAACAAAACTGTACATTAATTACTAAATCTCCGCATCAAACGAGCGTGTATTCCTTGGTTTTAAGTATAAGCACCTACCCATTTAATTTTAAGAAATAAACAAAACTCGAAAGATTTTTTTTAATAGTATGTAAACTTTACTTACTTTTTTTTTTCTTTCAGCAATTTGGTTTTTTGTCTCGATGAATATGTCAAAACTTGTTTACGGCCCGCGGTCATAAATAAACGACATGGCTTATATAATGTACTTTTCAACTTCCAAAGTACCTCTTTCATAATAACGCGACATCGACTTGAAGAACAAATTGATAATGAATACGTACTCCGGTCTGTTTGGCGTACTCGGCTGTTGGTGCATACTGACGTCTAAAATGGCACAATCTGACGTTGGGACTTTTACTAAAGGTCAGTCAAGTAAAAATTATTTAAAAATATGTAATTTAATAAAATAGCATTTCAATCACGATCCATTGAAAAAAAATTAAAAAAAATAGTTTGTTGTTTATATTTTTTTCACATATTTACACATCACTTAATAAACAACACCGCATATTTCATACTTTGATCAATTTGAGTTGGTAATACTATTGTATTGTGTAGAATTTTACGATATACAGTTTTGGTGCCAGGCCAAATAAAATTAAAACTTAAAACAATACAATTTATTCACCATAGGTCAATATGTATCTACATTTAAAAAAAATGAAATATGCATATTACATACATTATAAAATACAACGGATTGGCTATAGTTTATCACACGAAAAGTTTTAATATTGTATTTCAAACTGTTAAAAAGAAATATAGCATGAAAAAAAGACAGCGTACCTCATAAATATTGATATAGAAAAGCCCCATCAATTTTTTTCGATTTCATCTATGGAGATTAAAGATATGTCGTGATATACATTTATGGATTTTTGTCTACTGTGAGATGCGTGATATTGCTTTATAAGTGAATACGTATTTACGTAAAATTCAAATAAAAGTAATTAAAGTTAGGACTTAACATATTAATGATGTTATGTAAATCATAACACTTTATTAAAATATTAATTTAAACGATTTTGATAATTTTATCATCATCGTTCGTATTATTATATTATATTTTTTTCCATGTATAAAAGACAAACATGTTTTAAACGTCTCAAATAATGAAGTTAGTTTTAGTTTGAAATGTTTAACAAAGCGTAAATATTCAAATCATTTGATACATTGTTCCACCAAGTTCAGTAACAGAAATTTTCACAAAAAAAAAACTTATAAATTAGTTTCATAAAAATATTGTTCCCTTTTCAGACCGTGTATATGCGAAACGACCTTTTGCAACTGGGAGTTTATTAACTTCCTGCCCCTTTCATTTAATTTATGGTTTAATATATATGGTATATATTCCCATCAGCTATAATAACCGAACGTATTTCGGATTACTAAATGCAGATTTGAAAAAAAAAAGATTATAAAACAAAACTACTAATAATGATAAAAAAAAAAAAAAAAAACAACAAAACGTTCATTTATTTATTTTATTTAGGGTGTACTACATAATTTATTACATTTATACTGATTGTGTAATTACGGGAAAAAACTTATTTTATCATATTAAGCTTAATTAGTTACCTATTACATTCGTTTTAACGGCAGAAAATTGATATTTTATACAATTATAGAAAAAATATTATATTTTTTTTATTTCTTTATTGATGATAAAAGTTTCTTTATCGATTATACACGCTTATGCAGTGGCATTTGACTCGAGATTAAAATGTAAAATTTAATCCGTCGAAAATCGATTTTATAGCTAATTTATTTCTAATGGCATCATTATTGTTAATTTTATGAAAGGCAGTTTATTTAACAACAGTACTAATACTAGTTTCGTAGGATAACCTAACAACTATACGATATTATTTATAACAGTATTATCATATCAAATTTCACGGAATATAACATGCTGGAAAATTATTATATTCCGAAATCACGGCACGTTGCATAGGCAAATTTACTACGTGAATGTGTTGTATAAAAAAAGGCAGCTGCGATCGAGTAATAATAAACGAAAAGAGTAGACGTCGAAATAATTCAATTGGATTTCCGAAAACCGTGTTGTGTATATTATCATCATTGCAGTAAACTACATACTTACCCAGAACTAGAGTGTAAAACTTTATTTCACACGATATAATACGAATAAATTGACACACGAAAAAAAGAAATAATAAAATTGAATAGAAAAATACTTAAAAAATACTCCGATATTATATTATTATCTAGTTGTATTTCCGTCATACATGATATGCATAAATACATAAATATGTCGAATGAATAACGCTAAATCCAAATTTTTACATACGATTTTAATAAAACCAAACGTTTTAACCGAAGTTTTTATTTGAAACAGTCGTTATTACGTACAATAGCTGCGCCCTGACTAATAAATATTAAATGATTAAAGGTCGACTTGCAATAATTTATTTTACGTCAGTCATCTGATAATAGTTTAATGCAACAACCAATAAATTATTGATATATATTTATAATTTTTAAAAAAGACCAGATCCTGGAATAACGGTTTTGTGACAACAAGTAGTATAGTTCCCAGGATCTGGATTAATAGATTAATCACCTTTATGAAGGAAAACAATTCATAATAACAATTTCAATAATCTAGATTAAGACAATTAATCAGTAACTTTTTACCTAAATTTTAAAAACTCATAATTTTATTTATTATACCTATTTATCATAAAACTAAAGTGCTAAATGTGGTAAAATGTGTACATATGTGAGGTTTAATCACATCATCTAGCTATCAAAGATTGTGTATAATTGATGTAACTTAATAATTTATATGTTTAATTATATTTATATAAATTAAAAAATTTACCTATTTATTTAATAATATATATTAAGTATCATAAAATTACGATTTAAAAATATTTATATATATGATTCGATTGTTGATAAGATAAATTATTTATTTTATTTTATCTAGACAAAATAAATCAATAAAAATACACATATCTAAATAACTTATCTACAATTGTACGTATATTTTACATAAAACAACAAATTGGTCGTAAAAATCAACTATACTCTAAGTACACTGCATAGCGTCATTTGATTACATAGCGTGAGATAATGTAGCTGATGAATTTGCCCATATACGCTCTATCCCTCGTACAGTTGCAAATTTCGGAATTTTGTTTTCACTCTAAAGAAGATCCCCATGCCGATTTAGTCTAATCGGTGAAAAACTAAGAGTTCTTTTACTTATTGGGAGCTTACGCTACTTTAATGCTACATTTTTCAAATAATATCACGCCCGGTTCGATTTTCAAATCGAATAATATACCAAATATTTTCCAGGCCATTTTGTTGTATAAACATCTATTGTTGAACAAATAGTATATATAGAGAGAGAGAGGTAGCTATATAGTATGATTTAAAGATTAAAAGAACACCGAGTGGTGCGACAGAACAATATTTTCGCGCCGTGATGCGCATTACTACCGCAATACTTAAACCCGTATACGTGTACACACAAATAAATATACTCTAAATCATTAAAGCTATAATAATAAACTATCAGTTTGATATAGATTTTGTTTGTTTGATACAGTATAAAACAAATATTACAGTATTACAGTAGACGAAAATATAATGTTGAGTTAAAATCTGCAGAAAGAAATTATCGAAAGAAATGAAAATTGAACATATAAAAACAATAACAAAAAAAAAATAATAATAATAAAAATGAAAAATAGAAAAATTTCTGTTATAATAGGATATTATTATACTCGTATCTACAATGTAACGATGAAAAACAAACAAAATTTCAAAACATTTAAAATGTTTGAAAAAAATGTACAAATAAAATCAATATAATATAAAAGAACGAGTAAAGGTATCTTTAAAAATATTCGACCATACTTCACGCCATGAGTGGGCCATATGTTGTAAGTGGGAGGTTTAAAACGTACACGATTTATGGTTAATTGGTTAAACAATAACAACAAATGTTTCCAATTTAAACAACATTTTAAGCGAAGGTCGATAAACTGGTTAAACTCTACAAGGCTATAGTAAATTAAACAAGTTTTTTCCCCATTGCAACCTAGAAATTAACACAAATGAAACCAAATGTATGTAAACAAAGTAGTTTTTTTTTTTTAATTATGTTAGATAAGTTAATAGGAATTTAAAAAATTTGTTGGAATAAAGTACCACCGAATAAAAAATCTGCATGTACGATATGAATAATTTGAAACATTTTTATTAACCGAAAAGTTATTTTCCGTGACAACAAATATTAGTAAAACTTATACATAAACATTTAAAAAAAAAAAAAAAAACCTAATGTATATAATATGTATTACAGTTAATTTATAATATTATATTATTATTTATAATATTTGTATACATTTCGGTCGATTTACGTAGGTATTTAAATAAAATATTTATTATTATGTGTCTGTACAGGGAGGGTGTCCCACGAAAATGTAACGCATATTATAAATATATAAAACGGGTATATTTTTGTGGGACACCCTGTATAATAACATAGTCGGCAGATATGGCCGGTATAATATTATTATGACAGATTTTTCAATAAGTTGTCACCGTTCTTACATAATTAAGTCGGGGTGGCCTATACTAACAAATATTTGATAATGCTATTGTTGATCTTGCAGTGCGTTATATAATATTCAGAAGGTGCGGGATATCTCTCGTTGAATTATTCATGTTGAATATTTCCGAACCCCTGTTCAAAGAATTCATAATTATTATTACGGAATAATCCAGCGTTAAAAAAAAAATCTCCCATTAACTTATATACTCTCGGTTATTGTTGATTTAGTGTTTGTTTTCGTTGAATAAATTAGAGTAGTCGGTGGAATGATTATAATACTGCTGCAGGCGGTAAAATAAAATATTTATTTTAAATTTTAACTCCGAATATAATAATATAATAATAACACCATTGATGATGATTTGAGGAGGGGTAAATTATTTAATATTTTGCCATGGCTATATACAGAGTGTGTATCATATGCGATATTTGACAATTGCCTATGTAATCACATAGGCAATTGTCAATCCAGCAGATACACTCTGTATATATATATATATATTATAATATTATCGTCATAACACGGTTAGGACTTTCGATTAAAAGTAAATGATTTTCATACCGTTTTCGTCCCCCGTAATTTCGACAATATCCGAGAAAAAAACACATTTATGTTTGAACAAAAATCAGATTACTTACTCTTCCCTTTTTTTTTCATTTTTTTTTTTTTTTTTTATAGATAAAACCGTTATTTTCAGCTGTCCACAGAAATTGACATTGATCATATGGTCAGATATATACCTTATCAATGTATCGATAGGAATATTCTTTAGGAAACGAAAAAAAGATAAGATATTGGGAACGGGAGTGGCCACTATTGTAGGTTGGAAGTTGAGAAGGTAGAATACATAAGGTTATTTAATTTATATCTGTAAGCAACGATAAACCATTTCTGACGAAAGACGATGTCGAGCACAATTCGGTAATACATAATTTGAAGTGCCGTACATATCTGAGATTTCCGTTTAAATTTGATTTTAAAACGCTTATTAAAAAAACAAGTTGTCCGATGATTTTGAAAATTTTACCACGTCTGATAAGTACAATATAAATAATAAGTATTATTACCAAGTTTCAAGGCTCTACGTTTATTTATAATCGAAATACAGCAAAAAAAAAAACTCTTAAAAATTAAAATTCCTTAAAAACTCAAAAGTTGCTCAAAAGTTTTGGCAATGATACCGTAAGAAAGTAAATCAAAAAGGCAATAAAAAAGATATTTTGTGAATTTTTGATTAAATTTTTTTTTTGGTAGAAAAGTTTTTATAAAATAATAAAATCGTCAAATTCTAGGTTTTCCTACGTTTTTTCTCACTTAAGTGCTTTTATTTAAAAAACAGCGTCAAAAATCAAAAACTTTTCTGTTCAAAGTACCATTTAGACAACTTGAGCTTTCAGAAAAGTTGTTACACGTAAAAATTGGAGCAAGTTTATTAGGAAAAAACGTGTCCACAGACTAGAACAAAGCACAAAAAACAAAAGAAAAAAAATAAACATCTTAGTAAAACCAATAGCCCCTCGCTACGCTCGGAATCTAAAATCAGATTAAGCATTCAACTTTTTTCTTTGCATAAACATGTTTTTATTGACAAAAGAAAACATAAAGCGAACTCGTACCAGTTAGTTTTTCAATTGACGTAACATTAATTAATGAATTAATGTTTCGTTTTTCAGTGATTGCGGTAATGGCAATACCTATAGCATGCAATAGCTGATAATAACCAATTCTGGAATAGAAATTACAACAAACCTTTTTTAAATTTCAAAACAAATTAAGTTGTCGGTTTTTTTTTTTTTTTTTTTTAATTGAAGTATAAATTAAACATTTTAAAAATAAATAAATAAAATTAAAACGTGGATGCGATATATTTTACCTTTTGTTTTGTCGTTTTATATATATGCAGAGAGGTAAAAATCCAAATTGTTAAGCTGATTGAACAAAACGCTAGTGAATCAAATCGACTGTGAAATTGGACAACACATAGTGGTATATGTTTTTTTCCAGTTCACATCCCAATTTTTACGAAGAATAGAACGCGTTACTCAATAAATATTTAAGACATAGTACCTCTCTTTCTCTCTCTTTCTCTTGAACTGCAGTTATAACACGATATAATATACTACAAAGAATTTTTACACAATCTTTGAAATTGTTTCTTAGCATTATTCAAAATTATAATGTTTTCTTCCATAAAAATGATTTTCAAATGAGATTTAATTTTACTATAAGGTATTTTAAATTAAAATTGAATTATATATTTTTTTTTAAATTTGAAATTAAATTTAAAAGCACTTCTTTGAACGTATGATAAAAATGTATTTTGGGTTTCCGAAAAGAATTCACATACTCACAATTCCAATTTTTTTTTTTTTTTTGCCGCAATCACGCTGAAATCAATAATTAATTCGTGTTTTGATATGTTCATATTCATAATTGTATGTACGCAAAATATGATTTTATTTACGACTGCGATTGTTTAATTCAAGTATAACTGATATATAATTCGATTTATGCAGAATTATACTCAAAGAAGTGCAAAGTACATTATAATGTTTAAATTTTTTTTTTTGCAATAACTTGTTTCAGTTCTAAGAAAATAGCTTAATACCTACATTATAATATATTTCTCTAAACATAGTATATTAAATCAATAACATAGGTACCAATATAAAAATATTTCAGTTTAAATAAAATTACATAATACAGTATAATTCGTCAATATTTCTGATATAAATTAAAATTAAATATCGTTCGAATTTATTAAAATACCAGTAGCTGAATATTTTGTTTACATTGTTGTTGCACTTGTTACATTGCTTATAGCTACTGCAGTGGTCTTACGTATTTATTTATAATATTTATCAAACAAAGTTATAATTACCTACGTGGATGTCTTCATTTATATCAAGACGTCCACAGATTAGACAGTTTTGTAGATAATCCAAAAAAAAAGGGTAGAAACTTCTGGACTTCTATTACTTTTACTTTATATTAATCCAATTTCGAGGATCTGTTTATAGACTTTAAATTTGTCAAAAAGGTTTTTGATGTAACGAATATCTGATAGTTTCAGAGAAAATCGGGAGTATACACTGTTAGTTTTACAATAATGTGTTTTTATTTTTTTCTGTAAAACTTGTGTGGTAAAAATAATAGAATCCGAAAATAAATCAATTTAATAAATTTTGTATAATGGAATATAAAAAAAAATGTAGGTATTTAGCAAAGTAATTTTTAAAATTGTCCATTGTGCATCACAAAAACGAGTAAAACTGAAGTATTAGTGAGAAGAAGTGTAAAAAAAAAAAAAAAATATTACAAAATACTACAAAACCTGAGAAATAATCCACTTATATAATCTAGCTACCATTTAAAAACCAAACAAGTGAAATAGAAACTCAGTTTTAGGTACTTATCTTGGTTCGCTATGTTTAACGCGAAACAATGGCGTATTATTGTTTTTAAAATTTAATTTGATAAACGCAGTTATATTCAAAAAAAATTAACTGAGGGCTTAAAAATTTAAACCATTACTATAATTTCTTTATTTCGGTTTTTTGTTATTACTGCAGGATATAAAAATAATTCATTTAAAAGAAAATTATATCTAAAGTACCATCTGTATTTAATTACATATTTATTTTAAATATGGTGCATGGTATTTTTAAAATATTTATACTATAATAAACCAATAAATTTAATTAAATTTAAAAATTCATGATGTGCTTTTCTACTGTAAAACTCTGATAAAACATATAGTTATTTTACTTTGTTTAAAATGTAAAATTACCAAATTAATATTTAGGTATTTGTTTATTTTATTTATTTTTTATATTCATCAACATGTTTAACTATAAAAAAAAATCACTAATATTAGTTTTAACCAGAAACCATAGTATACATTGTATAACAAATACATTTTTTTAAATTTAATGTTTCATTCCTTCTATTTTCGGGTACCATACAAATACCATTAGTTAATTTATAATGATCAATGATAATCAAGTTGGTGTTTTTTTTTTTTATTGTTTCCTTGAAAAATTATAATAAAAGTGAAAATTTTAAATTAAATTATAAATATTCATCGAATGTTTTACATAAATGTAAAATCTAATCCATAAGTACGTCTACCCACTAGGTACCTACAAGAGTTTTTAATTTTATTCATTACTTTACAAGACAAATAAAATATTAAAACACATATAGCTGTGGTTGAAAGGTAAACTCTTATATATATATATATATAGCTTTAATTTATTGCAATTAAATTACAAATTACAATTAATAATTAAAACATGAACATGATAATTCGTACTAATGTACAAATAATGCTGTGTATTAAAATGTAATAATTATAATTCACTTATTTTGACTTTGCTTCTATCGAAATTAATTTAATAATAATATAAATATAAATCGCATATACTATATAAATAGGTAATTATTTTTATAAATATTTTTACTAATAGTGAAAACCATCGGTAGGAAACTAAGTTTCTACTCATACAGTATGCATATAAATGTTATGTTAAATTGTATTCGATCTGCTGGTAGGCGTAAATAAAAAAAAAAAATTCATATTTCAAAAAACCACCTATTTCCCTAATTTTTACATTTTTATCCATATAACACAATTATATTTCATAATTTAAGATTATATTAATAGTATTTTTTGTTTGATGTTTTATAAATATTTGAATTCTTTATCCCTGCAAATAATACAAAAAAAAAAAAAAAATTTGATTATCTTTATTATCTCAGAAGATATTATAATACCTCTTCGTGGAACACTCTGTACATAGTTAAATTGTTTTTAATTCAACTTGCCAAAATAATAGTCAAAATAATTCAAAACGTGATGCATCAAAACTTCGTGAGATAAAAAATTCTAAATTGACTGACGTAATACATAAACTACTACAAATATCATATTATTTATTTATTTCCAATTCTGAGCGAAGTGGAAAATGTAAAGGTTTTTCCAGTGGTAGTTATAAGTTTAATCGTCGTAATAATTGTAAATTTAATTTTAAAATATTGGGAAAAGTTATGGGCTCTCTAACATTATTGCCTCATGATTTTTTGTTTGTCATTTTCATCCTCTCCCCCTTAAATGTCAGTTATACCCATCACTGAGTTTTTGCATATTGTGTTTTATTTGGATATCTGGAAACAAATTTTCTACAAAATGTCTTGCTCCAATCGAAAACTATATAGCAATTTTAATTTAATTTAATTTAAGACCATTTTTTATTTTGCTGGCAGTTTCTTAATAAATAGGAAAAACTATCAATGTTTATATAATTTTTGTTGAGGGTTATATAATATAAGAGAACAAATATAACTGCTCAGAATCTTTTTTTGTTAGCGGTGGCTTATCGTTCTGTACAGATATTTGTTAAATTATTTTATTTATTCTCCCTTTCAATTTCTCTTCTTAAACATTAGAACACCCATCAGTATAATACCACGTTTTGTTTTATTAGTATACTTAGAAGTATACTGAAATATTATATAAATATCTGTGTGTATTGAATAGTAAAATATGATTAAAAAAATTTTTTATTTAACTTAATGAATGGTAGTTCAAACTGGTTTTTCTTTTATATCGAATCCAAATGAATATATTTTAATAAATAAAAGGTCTGTTTTGATTGCAAACAAACTAATTTATAACATTGGGTGAAACAAAATTTGTACTATTATAATTTAATTATGTATGTACTAACGTTATATTTTATATATATTCGCGTTTACTTAATCATAATTATTATCCAATAGGTAACTCATTAACATCTGAAAACCGATTAGTAAAATACATTGTAATTTTAAGACGGCAATTATTTTTTAGTTTTTATTTTCTGTAATACAATATACCAAGTATGTCTATTTACCGTTTTAAAATTAATAAATAAATATAAAAATAAAAAATAAACGATCGTAGCTATAATATAATTATCTAAGTAAAACAAATTTAATTTTATATTTACGATTTTTGAATATAAATGGTTATTTAAACTAATTTAACATACATTTTATCTAAAGAACATCTAATAGTTTTCAAATTGCATTACAATTTTAATTTATATTGGCTTAAACAAGCGTCCCCAAGAATATTAATGTCAGTTAAAAGGAAATATTAAATATAAATATAATCGTGTTATATTTATTAATTCATAATTTTAGTTTATTATAAGTTTAACGTCGAATAATAATATTATCAATAAGAACTTAAATTAGAAAATATAATTGTATTTTATAAATAAAAATTTAAAAAAGACAGCCTAGGAAAATGTGTTAGGGTGCAGCCACTGTTATAGGTAATTTTATGTATATCTGTAAATAACGACAAACCGTTGCTAACAAAAAACCTATTCTAAGTGCAGTTCAATTGATAATGATGCCTTGCCAACAATAGAAGTCATATTATAGTAAAATAATTAAATAGGTATTTGTTTAATATTGTACCGATTTTCCCATTTTCTTTTGCGTTTTTCTCAGTTGTTTCATGTTTTTTTCCGGTTTTTCACATTTGCAGGGAAAACTCTTAGGAAAATCGAAAAATTACTTTTTTAAAGTAAGATTCCCAGTCATATTTCCTTTTTTTTTTTTAAAAAAAAAAAAAAAGAAAAATTGCTATTCTTGTAAACCGGAACAACCGGTTTGTCAACCGGTAGAAAAGTTGTCTACAGAAAAAAATCTTAATATTTTACTAATGCATTTGTACATTTTCCCGTTTTTTCTTTGTTTTTCATGATTTTTCCCATTTATTGGGAAAATCGAAAAATGACCTCCTTAAGTTATCATAAAAATAACATTTCATTTCCAAAAATGAGCTACACTTGATACATCAGAGCAAGATTTTTGGTAGAAAATATTGCATAACAAATCTAGGGGTATTTTACGATTAAAATAGTCCGAGCAATTGATGGCTTGGGTCTTTAGGTACACCCAAAATGCATTTGTTTAGATAAAAGAGAAAAAAAAATGCAAACAATATTTTTTTTCTTGAAACACGGATGTGCACTCGCATACCCTAGAATAAAAATTGCATAACCATTCAGCTACAAAAAACTTACTATAATAAAGACAATATTTAGTTATTTAACATCACATATAATATTTGAATATCAGAATTTTAAAAAGCTATAATTTCGAAACTTAGTCATTTCCCGTTTTTCTTACGTTTTATCCTGGTGTTTCCCATATATCATGGAAACCGCTTTGAAAATTAAAAGTTTACCTCCCGAAAATACCATTTGCACCAAATTTCCTTTCAGAAATAGAGCTGCGTGTAAGATTTCTGGTAGAATTTTTGTACACAGTATAAAAAATAATAAAAAATAATAAACATCATAGTAAAACCAATAAATTGTTCAATAAATATTTTTCAAAATCAGTACTAGGTAATTATTTAAAATAGGTATTTTGTTTTATTTTATTATTCTACACCTACCTGCAGATCGAATAAAATTAAACGTTTATATGAATACTGATCGAGTAGAGTTAGTTACCTACTTATGTTTTTCACTATGAATAAAAATATTTATACAAATAATATTTCTTTACGAACTATTATTATGTAAGAACTAAGTAAACAACACTTGTATTCAGAGTGTAGTGGAATATTTATGACTTTTCTTTGGTTGGAGGGGGGGGGGGGGGTTAACACAATTTAAGCGGCTAAGAGTTTACCGAAATTATACCGAAAAACCACTAAAATTATAGAAATTGTGTGCCTCTGGGGAGGAAGCGTGGAAACCCTTTACCACACTCCCTCCCCCTAAATATACCACTTACAGCGTGATTCATCTATCACGATCCATTACCATAAATCATAATTATGATTAATTCGCCGTACCCTTCATCCCTACTCGAACCTATGTTGAAATGGAGGGTTTATTATCATTTAAAAATCAAAATTTAATACTCATATAATGATATTGAGGACACAGAAATATTAAAATATTAGATATTGAAACAAAGCTCAAACGATTCCATAATGGTAGGAAAAAAACATAAATCAAATTTATTTAAAATCCTCCGAGAAAATCACTGATAAAATAATCATCTTGTAGATTATGAACACTTTACCCGGATAAAATTACTTGGAATTTTTAAAAATAGCTATGGAGTATAAAACAAATATTTATGCAAGGCTTTATGTATAAGCACATAATATATATATATATGTTCGTACAGCGGTGTGTATTTTAGCGTACCTATTGCCTAATGCCGGGAACGAGTAATTTTTTTTTTCTCCCGACGAAAGTCATTACGTTCACCTCTCAGCTAATTTGTCACAAACGTTTAAGAGCCGTAAATTAATTACATTTTCTAGCGATCGAATGAAAAGTTGCTTTATATACGTTGTATTGTATACGGCAGCGGCGTAGTGATTCGAGCAATCGTTTGTCAGGATTAGAAGAGAGCGCTTTAAATGTCTCCCTTCTCCCCCTCCTCCTCCTCCTGCTCCTCCTCCTCTTTCGCAACGATGTTTTTCGACCGACGCTCTTTGTCCTCGATGTCGTCCTCTTTCACTAATTTTATTTCATTAAAATGAACAACGGGAGTGCGACGGGAAGTTTGTTCGAAAACAAAGACACGCTTCATCGAGTGTACGAGTAAATTAAACTTATTAACGACGGATTTATATAAAAAGAACTCCCTTAGAGCTGACTTGTTGTGTGGGTTAAGTCGGGTTAGTTTGTTGTACGTCTGCTTTTACGTTGTTATAATTATTCTAAAATCAAAAGAACGAAACCATTTTAACCTATATATGGTACTCAATAATTGCGAACGTGCGGATTAAAATAACACACGGTGTTGAATCCAGGTACGTGACACGGGGGACGATAGCCCTCCCTGGGCTAATAATCTTAAATAAGCATAAAAAAAAAAAAAAGTCATTGCTACAATTTTAGTGATACCCCCTCCCCCCAGAAAAATTGTCTGGATTCAACACCGATAATACACATATTATAATAAGTAGGTAACACCTACGTGACGAATAATATTATATGTATAATATTAATGAACATTAAACTCAAACGGTTTCTATTATTGCCCCTACCGTTTAAAGAGCGAAAAAGTGATCTTATCTTGTAATACGGGAACTATGCAATTGATTCCCGGGACAAAAAAAAAAAAATGTTCTTATTGGTCCCCGATAAAAATAAACAGCGCCGTAAAACTGTTCGAATTGGTTGCCGTACGTGCAAATAGAATTGTTTTTTTTTTTATCGCGGGAAAATATAGATCGTTCTCGTATCGTTAGCGAAAACTTGCTAATCCATCAAAATCCGTTTCAATATCGAAATTCGCCAAATCCAAACCCTACGATTTTCGTCCGGCTTTTCGGTTTGAACACAATTTTTTTATCAACTGTTTTCTAGACGAGTGCCGGTAACGTCTAAACGAAATTGTTGCCGGTTTGTAAATTCCTCGTGCGCACCGGTGCACCGCGCGATATTTGTGCACAATAAATCGATGTTTAACGTCGCGCAAAATGTGTAAAAACGATGATGTGGCATGTCGATTTGTACGGGGAACTCGCGGGGAACATCACGGAATGGTCTTTGTTGTTGAGTCCGTTCGAAATATCCGTTGAGTAAAATAAAACAACCAGGCGGCGGATGCAATAGGATGGCGCGACCTTGTTGCACAGCCGATTTAGCGATTCGAATTTTAGATTTTTGGATCACGCGTTAACATTGCCGTCGGGAAAATCGCCACACCAACCGGTGACAAATGAAACGTTTTCCGACGTTGCCGCGTTCGTTTGAATGGTTCGTCTCGTTCGTGCACGGACACAATAGTCGTTACTGCAGTATGTGCATAAGCGAACGGTTCGTGCGCCGATACGATTCGAACGAGCGTTGAGGATAGGGCAAGACGTATCGGATCGGGCCGGGGCCGGTGCGTCTCCGTCGCGGGCTCGAAATAAATATCGTACAGGGGGCCACCGCGCGCAAACGTTTTTTTTTTTTTTTTTTTATAACAAGGCCCGTATGTTATGGTATTTTCCACCCGAACGCGCGATGTCGTTATCCCGAAAATAACTCGCGGTGTTACTCGGCGCCCGCGTGTACGGGACGCGGATTGAAAACGGGGAGCACGGCGACGATACGGCCCGGTTTAGGGCGCGGGCGTGCAGGGTATTATAATATTATTATAATAATATACGTCAAAGGATAATAATAATAATAATGCGGGCCGTTGGAAACGAAAACGGGATTCCGGTAAAACGCGCCGCGTATTCCGGGCCGTATTATGGGTTTTTTTTTTTTTTTTAAACAAAATAATATAATATTCGAACATATCGCGTATGTGTGTGGAGATACATAAATGTAGGGGCGGTCGCGCGTATAACGGATATTTTACCCGCCGCCAATGCCGTCTATAATAATAATATACTTTCCGGAGAGCGGAGAGAAAAAAATAATAAAAAAGCGTTTCGGAAAAGGCGCGCGTCGGCGGCCGCCCCGTGAGCGCGTACGCGCACACGCGCACGCGACCCGAAATTCGGGCGGCGAAACGGGCGCGTGTGGGCGCGTACGCACAAATAAAGCTCGCGGAACCCGAGAGTGACCGTTGATAAAAATAACAAAAGATAATCTCTAAAATATACCGGGTGCGCGGGCGCCTGGTGGTGGGGGGGGTGGGGGGTATAAATTATCTGTCCGTCCTGATGGACACCGCCGCCGCCGCCGCCGTCGCCGAGTGACGGATGATCGCCATTTCGTGCGGAAGGCCTTTCGGATCGTACGCGCGCGCACGCACACACATACACACACTAACACGCGAGCACACACGCACACGCACACATACACGTAAGCGCGCGCGGCGCGGTATTATAGGTAACGATGCGTGACGATAACCGCTCGGTGCAATACTTCACGCGGCGACGAGAGCCCAGAGCCGCGTGTCGATATAAATTTATACGGCGGTCATATTGTTATCACAGCGCGCGTGCTCGCCCATAATATAATATCGTCCACGCGCGTATTATTATTACTGTTGTAATACATTTCGCGTAGCACCGCGAATATGACCGCCGGCGAGGGTCGGCGCGTACGCGCCGGCGGACGCGAAAGTGGACGGGGGGAGGGCGGGAGTGGGGCGACGGTGATATAACGTAATGAACCCGCCGTGCGGTCCACACGGGATGACGGGAGGAGAGGGGGGGTTGGTGGTGGCGGATGAGAGCGATAATACGATTGCGGCCGCAGGTGTGAAAACTCCTGGGTCCGGCTGCGACGACGACACCGCGAGGGCGCGCCGCCGTTAAAACGCGCGATAAACGCCTCTCGTACGGAACGGTCTGTGCCGCGGGCCTGCGGCACGTACGGCTCGTCTGCTAACCCTATTTTATCCGCACTGCCGTTTCGCCGCCGCCGCCGCCTCGTCTACCGCGACCGACCGGACCGACCGCCCGCCAGTCCCGTACGGTCCGCGCGTACCTATCACCGCGTCACCGCAACGCGAACGGCGGCGGCGGCGGCGGCGGCGGACGGACGGACGGACGGACGGACGGCCCCCGTTTTCGAACGTCGCGCCGCCGTCCGATTTAATTGAACGCAATCACTGCGCTCCCCCCGAGGCTCCGAGGCGACCGTTCCGCGAATTAATAACGATAATATTATTACAGCGTATATACGATAATATTAAAACGTCCTGTGGGAAACGCGCGCCGACCGAGTTCTCGTCGTCGTCGTCATCGGCTGCGCGCCCCCACACCCCGCCCGTCCGTCGTCGAGCGCGGGACCGCCGACGGCCGCGCCGCGGAGGGCGAACGGCGGAAGCGCGGGAGCGGCTATCTTTTGTCCGGGCGCGCGGGCCCGGGGTTTCGGCGGTCCCTTGTTTTTGTTTCGCGTACATTGTTTCGCGGGTCCGCGTATAATACACGCCGTACGAATAAATATCCATTTTGTTTGGGCCGGAATTTACCACGTTAATTTTGTTGTCAAACCGATGACGATAATTATTGTTATTGTATCGCATGTAGTTACCATTTTTCGGGGTCCGCGGATGAACTGCGAACACCGTTAAAATATTCGGAAATGTCAAACGAAACGACAAGGTCAAAAGTCCGGACAAACACCGTGGACGGGTCCCCGTTGTAGGTGGGGAAACACAGCTGTGTAGCAAAAGGCTGGCCGGCTGAAGGAGGTGTAGGCAATTTAGTTTGCAAAAATACTGAAAACCGCAACGAGTAATCGTAAGTTTTCCAATCAAAAAAAGACGGACATACCTTCGCACTCGGGCGGGCCACTGTTGTAGGTGAGAATTTGGGAAGGTAGAAGGGAAATTTAATGTACATATGTGCGCAACGATTAACCATTGCTAATGAAAAACGATTCCGAGAGGAGTTCGGTTAATAGCATTACTTTGTCACCAATATATATATGTCACATTATGGTAAAACGATTACGCATGCATTATGCATTTTCTTTAATATTAATTATGTTTAATGTTGTGTCTGTTTCTCGTTCTTCCTACGTTTTTCCCGGTTTTTCCATGTTTTTCCCATTGATTGGGAAAAAGCCTGGGAAAATCAAAAAATTACTTCCATAAAGTACCGCCCCGGTCGGATTCCCTGTTTGAGAAATTGTCATCATTGTAAATCGGAGCAAAATTGCTGGTAGAAAAGTTGTCCACGGAAAATAAAAGCCAACGTATCGATAATATTAATGTCATATTGCTTGTTTTTTTTTTTATTTTTTTTTTTTTATTATTAATTATTATTATTATTATAACAACAGTTTGTCTTAATATAAAGTTTTTTTTTAGGCCGTCAGATTTAAAATCCACATCTTTTAATACACAGAATGGAAAAATAACCGAATAAAGTTTTCCGAGAGGAAACGTATAAATACTTATAGGTTCTTCGCGCTACGCTCGAAAGCTAAAATGTGAAACGTTCCTCGCAATAAAATATACTGACCGGTAAAATTACAGTTTCAATATTTTAAGAATCTGCTTTACAATAATAATTTTAAACGATTCCTGTCTTTCCTTTAACAACGATACACGATGACTTGAGGTCACCGCGGAAAAATGGCCATCACCAGAGACGTAGTCTGCGGTTTTTTGGCACCTGAGTGCTTTTTTTTTTTTTTTTTGGCACTCCCCTTTAATTTTTGAAAAAAAAAGTTTTTGTTTTCATAAATGCTAAACGTATGACCGCAAAATAAATAAATACTTTTCAGTTTTTCAAAGTAATTTATTTAACGGTGTAGGTACGGTATATTAGTATACTATAACTGTGTTCTTTGTACAACTGTTTAATTACTCAGCACTCGTTCATATATTAAGTAATACACTGTACGTCAATACTTAAGACCGTAATATAGGCATAATTAACGATTTGTTTCTCCTCGCCTCTCTCACATACAGCCAATTAAGTAATTAGTTTCACGATTAATAAATATATATATTAACACATCTAGTAAGTCTACTCATTGTTGAAAAAAAATTTAAAAAGTAACATTACATATTATTAAAAAAAAAAATGCATACAGAATTTTAAGTTGGTCTCTAACTTTTGGGTCTGGACCAACAGGAAAAAACGGTGGAAAAATAGAAAAATTCACGATATAACGACAAAAACCTTATGCGTAAAAGTATACGAAAGGCCGAATTTTACAATTGAACGCTTTTCGCCTTTTCAGTTCGGCTATAATAATAAGACAACAACAAAAAAAAAAAATTAAGTATTATTATAAACTAGAATTGAGAATTGAGAACACGAATTTTAATGATGTTATTAGTTATAAAAATAAACGCTACACGGGACAATAATCACAAAAAAAGTCAATTTTTTTTTTCATTGCGGTACTTACTGCTGTTAAATTGTGATACGGTCCTCGTGTGCAATCGCGAGGTTTAAACGTATAATCGTACAGGCCTCGTACTGGTATTTTTGAGATTTATCCGATTCTCAGCCGGTGGTCGTACAAATTCCGTATTCACATCGCGCGATCTTATCATTCGTGGGCTAATGATAATGATTGTTGGTCAACTTGGCTGGGAGAATTTTTCACTGTTTACTCGTTTATATTATTATGTAGGTATATTAAATTGCATCGATATTGTTTAGACAAACGAGCCCAAGCGACAATTTATATATTATCGAATAGTGACATTCAATCTTGGTCTAAGAGAGGTTAGATAAATTAGGAAAATTTTTTTTCTAATAATCGAACATATTATTAGGTGCTAATAATCAGTAAGAAAAATAAAAATCTTTACAAAGTTAATGGCAGTTAATTACTAACACTATTTATAGATAACAGTTTATTACAAAAATTCTAACCTCCTTTTTTTATTGTATGATAATTCAACCAGCACTTCATCATGGATAGTTGAATAGTTTTTGTTTATTGACAGTATAGCCAGGCCCGCAATTTTTTTTTTCCAACAATTTCTTCCACAGAGTATCTATACCGAGTAAATATTACGTAAAAAACTCGCAAAATTAAAATGTCTATAAATAATTTAAAAACGGTTCAGATATTTTGAACATTTACCACGTATATAAAAGGTAAGTATAAGGTTTTTATCAAAATGTCAAGTCTCTATGAATATTTCTCGCTGAATTATAACAAAAAAACAACATTGAAAATAATAAAAAAATTATTTTCGTAAACAGTCTTATAATAATAAATCTTTTCTACGTTTTTCCCGGTTTTTCACAATTATTATAAAAACACATGGAAAATCAGAAAATGACCGCCTTAAAGTATCACTCTAGTAAAATTGTATTTTAGAAAAGGCGCTACGCCTGAAAATCGGAAAATTTCTGGCAGAAAAACACAGAAAAAAACACTGAAAAAGAAAATTATAAATAAACATCACTGTAAAATCAATACATTCCGTTCAGAATCCAAAACTACAGAACACTAAATACTTAATAATTAAAATTGTTTAAATTTAGTATCTAAATGACACTTTATAACATGTTAGATTTGAATCATGGGCGTAAGCGAAATTCGTAAGGACTAAATGCCAATGGTATAAAATGTATGATGGCTAAACGACGACATCGGAGGGGGGGAGTAGAACAGGGGAATTTCCCCGGTCACTTAAACACGTTAGTATAGTGTATGCTTTTTCCTCGAGTTGTGGTAAAATATTTACCAAGTTGCGTAGTTGTATGTGATTTGCCACCTCCCTCCCGAAAAATTAAGGTTTTGTACCCACCGCCGACCACAAAGGTTCAAACGTCAAACTGCGAAACAACTTATTATAATCAAAGCGGTACAAAAGCGCTTAAAATTCGAATTATTTCTTAAAAACTGTTTAGGATATTTTTCGACTACCTAATTGAAAACTGCGTTACGGCCGGTAAAAATCTCAAAGATCACATTGAAAATAAACGATCCGAATTCAAAATGTAAAACAACGTGTATTCGCTCTCCCGGGAAACGTATAGAAATGTCAAATGAGCGATTTTCGCTTGAACGCCACCGGTACAGGCTGACAGGTAGGGCAAGCGTGTGTTAATATATATTATTGTAGTGTGGGTATCCGTTTAAAGGTGTTGGATTCCTTACGCAATATAAACGGTCTGTTATCTGGTAAAATCGATTCGCACTCACATCCCTGATTAAATTTAAAGTTTCGCAACGAGCTCGCAGCTCTCGCCGTTTCCCGACACGCAACACCAATTACACATGGCCAATGAGCCTCTTATAGGCGTTTAATGCCTATCGCGCCGAACTTTATTCGCAGTTTCGTTTGCTCCGTTTCCGTACGTGCACGACTGCCCGTCCGCCTGCGCATGGATTATGGGCGTATAACGTCTCGTTCGCGTTGTTGTGAAATACAGAGGTATATACAGGTATCGGGCGCGCCTATCGTCCAGGTACTCGTGATGCGATCTATGATGGCGCGTTATACGCGGCACACGCGTGGACGCCCGTTCATATGGAATAAAACGGCAAACGCCGTTTCCCGCAAACGGGGTTCAATTTAATTACACAATGCTCGGACTGGGTGAAACGCCCGCGGCCGGGGCCCGCATTCGTTTTTACAGAGATTTTAGCGTACCGCTCCGTGTAATTAACCCACAGGAACGCTAAGAACGTTTTCGCCGGATGCGCATTCATTTGCATCTACAACGCAACAACGTTTTACTACTGTTGGCCAAAATTAAAATTCGGTTGTTGCGATCAGCCGAATCTCGGGGTGGAAAAATATCATAACAATATCAAAAACGTTCCGTATACGAGTGTATTCCTTAAACTTCCTTAAACAGATAAGGTATCTGTCGTTATACCGTCAGTTTTCCTACTTTTCCGCCTTTTTTTCCGATTGTTCCAGTTTGAGACCTACCTGAAATTATGTATGGTATATTTTTTTTTTTTTTTTACTAACACGTAACGGTTATTTTTTTATTTATTTATTTTTTTTTTAACAAGGGTAGATTCACAAGAGGAGTTAGTAACAAGGTAATGTATGTACATATTATGGTTTTATGTATCGTGAAATCAATTACTTAATTGACTTTATGTGACGGAGGTGATGGGCACAAAGTCCCCCATCGGTCACGGTAACATTTATTCTGGTACGGAACGATTGTTTTTTAAACTAAAACCATCGTCCGTTGTTATTTCCCTCCCCTCGCCCACCCCAATTCGAGCACCGATTTAATATTAACAACGCCAACGCGAAATAAACGAGAGTCGCCACGATTTTCCGGGGACGACTCGAGAATTTTATAGGGACGCGTCACATGTGGCTTGAATACGCGACGCGCGTCGTGTAAACACGCAATTTCCTCGTCACGCGCCTCTGTGATTTATCGCAATGCGCGCGCATATAGCCGCCGACACTCGACCCGGGGACCTAACCCGAGAGAGAATAATTCTCTTTCTATTTGTTCCAAGCGAAAGAAATTATAAGTACCCACGCATATAAAAAGAAACGTAACTTTTTTTTTTTTCACGGTTTTTTTTCCTATGCTGTCCGGGTTTCGATAATACATATATAAAATATATTATGTATAGGTTGACCAGACGGGCCGGTTTTCCGGGATTGTCCCGGTTATCAAAAGTTTCTCCGGTCATCCCGAAAATCTTTATCGGGACTTCAATACGTCCCGGATTAATGCGGTAATGTGAACTCGTACAACGTTATGTTAGAATTTATATAATCTTTACGGTACCTATTTTTATAACCTTTTTAACTTTTTTACGGTTTTTTTTAGTTTTGATTATATTATTTATTTGGCCGTTTAAACACACGACGGTAATATCGGATGTAAGTCGGTATTATCCTATCTATTTATGGAATTTATTTGTTCGTATTTGTAAATTTCATATAGACAATAGGCGATAGTCGATAAACATTTATACAATAAATTATAATTTTAAGTTATTAACGTTGTTTACATTATTACGTATTAAACCATCAATAAGATTGAGTAGTATGATGTGTATGATCACGAGAGTTTATTTTTTATTATTTCTTGGTGTTCGTTCTCATTTCACCTAATCTATTTAATTGTTTACTATAATAATTTAATATAAATGCCTAAACGTCAGTGTAATTATAAAAATGATTATTCTGAAAAATGATTTTTTCATAAAAAAAAGGTCGTTATGAAACAGAAGTCGAATGTACACTGTGTCATTTATTTTTAAGTATTGGACATGGTGGTCGATCTGATATTACGGATCATTTAAAATTAAAAAAACATGAATTAAAAATAAGTGCTGCAGGTTCTTCAAAAAAAATCGAGTCTTTTTTTGTAAAACCTAATTCAAATGAAGAAACTAAAGTTTATGCAGCTGAATTAACTGTTAATTCCAAATACGGTTAACAATAAATTTAAAAATATTATACATCCTAAAATTGCATAATTCATGTTGTAAATTAGAATACCTATCTAAATTATACATTTTTTTTATTCAAAATAATTTTCTCTTTATGATACATATTTTATTTGTCCCGGTTTTTCTTTTTAATAATCTAGTTACCCTAATTATGTATTATATGTATACACATTATACACATTTGGTTACGATTATCTGCCCGGATAACCGTAATAACCGTGGTCATGGCTGAACCCGGATATACCTCTGGATATACTATAACTAGCTGCAGTTGTATTATATACTCATACTCTCCGTACAAATTTGCTTGAAGCCGCAGTTTTTTTTTTTTTTTAAGCAATGAGTGTTATCATTTTCTTATCTCTAATTCTGTTGTATCTGTCTTTTTACCGTTGTTACCGCGGTTACCAAGACCGCGTTTTTCCTAATATTACACAAATATAACTACAGTTATCATAACATAAAAGTGTACGATAAAGCTAACGGGCATCGAATTAAATGGCGGATTCAAAATGTATGTATCACCATGTATTAGTAACCAAGTTTATTCGGTTTATGTGTCTGTGTAGCTAAATAATTGTGTATGATTGCAAAGTGGGCATTAGTATACACACCGAAATGTAAATATAATATTGAAATTCACAGAAAGTAAACTTGACTGGCATCCGCCGTGCTGTAATTATTGTAATGAAAATCAGTGCCAGAGACGGCCATCATGACAGCTGCTGCGTATCACAAAGTTGCTATCGTACCTATACCTAGTTATCCAACCATGTGTGTTATAACATAAAGGTAAAACAATAAATGAGAAAATCTCGGTTCACGGATTGGTCAATGGAAACGAATTTCATAGAGTGGCCGGTATGTAGGCACGTCGAAAAGGTCATGAAACGCCATCATACCGCCGTCTCAAGTTTATACACTTTCCGGGCTTTACAAAAATAAACTTTTAATACATAATGTTATTAGATTGTGTGCATGTAACTATCTACATGAAACACACTACTTTTTCAAATTAACGCCATCCGCATAAAAAATACGATATAATATTACATGATACTGGTATATTCAACGGAGTAGCGAGGGGAAGGGAGGTTTTAAAGGTGTAACCACAATAACTCTAAAATTTTAACTGGCTAAAAAAAAAAATAAATAAATAACATACATAGCTCAAAAATATTTTAAAAATTGGACCACGCCTACAAAGTGCTATCTAAAAAATAATATACTCGATGAAAATGTCAGGTCTCTATGATTATTATTTGATATTTCTAATTAAATTACGAGTACAATAATAAAACCAAATAGAAAGTAATAATAACAGTTATTCATTAATTTTCGTTCGGCGTTCGCCAATGTTTTCTCGGTTATTCCAAAGAATATTGAAAAAATGGCATCCTCAATGCACCAACAAAGAAAAATTGTCTACTAGAAATAAACCCTAAAGTTGATGATCGGAGCAAGCATTTTGGTATAAAAATTATAAACACACAAAAGAAAAAATCACCCTTTACATTCATCACTACACTCAGAATACAAAATGTTTTTGTTATTTAATTTGTTAAACTGATAATAATTATAATTTATTTCTTAGACATCAAATAAAAATAGAATATGTTCTGATGTATTTTCAATAAATACTAATTTTAAGTGCCAATAATTTATTTACTTATCGTTTTATTTTTTCAATGATTTTACTGAGTTTGACATCTCGTCTATATAGGTCAAATTTAATAATTAATATTTGATCCCCTTCCATTATCCAATTAAGCTGACGTTTTACACACAATTTTAGTTTCTAGGACAAATCAAAGTAAAAAATATCAAACATGAAATTAAAATAATAATTAATATTATTTCTAATTAAAATCAATTGTTTAAAAAGAAAAAAAAAATATTTTTTTATCTCAATTAAACAGACAATTGTTCAATCTATTTTTATTTAACAACTTAAAATAATATATTGAAGTTTTATATCCAACATTATTATCGTTATATGTACATATATTAAAAGTTAAAACTTATAAAGAACAATCAAATCAACTATAAACTGATAGGTAATTATTTTCGAAGATATTAAATTTAGTTAGTTTTTTAGGTACTTTAAGATAAGTTTGAGAAACGTGATAAAAAAAGTTTAACTATAATAAAATTCTATAGAATAAAATAACCCACATTGGTCATTAAAAACCACAACTTTTTTATTTTTCTAATAAATAATCCACGAGATACATCAAGACGTAAACGATAGATGAATTAAAATTAAAATTAATCATAATCTTAAGTGTGGCTGTTTAAATTTGTATTTAAATAAAACATTTAATTCAAAAGATTTAACTTCTATTACGAAAACGAAAATCTAGAGTACAAAAAGACTATATATTTGTATCTATTAGAGTCCAAAACAAGAAAAAAAAACATAATAAAATGTAATTTTAATTGTTTACGTTTGGTTAATTTGTATAAATACAAATTTTTGTATATTTTAATTATTTGTATGATGACAAAATGTTATTATTTTTTTTTTTTTGAAATAATAGCTCTAAGTCTTTACTAGACTCTTTACTAGATAGCATAAATAATACCCACTCGATTTGAAAAAAATTATTATATGAATTACAAAACTTTTAAACTTTGGTGGTTTTCCTAAAACATTTTTAATGTTATTATAAAATCGTATTAAGGGTTTTCAAAAATATTTTCTACTACATGTTACTCATGTAGATAAAAAAAATAGTATTTAAATAGTATTTAATTTTCATTAATAACAAGTAACTGATTTACTTTGGACATATTGAAATATGTCATAATTTTCTAGAAATTATTAAATACATTAAATAAAATAACATAAAAATACCGGTTTAAATGAAGAAAAATGAAGTTAAATAATATAGAAAAATCAATTTTACCCAATATAATTACTATAAACTTTCTACTCTTTTCATTTAAACTTCAACTAATTATTGTATAATAGCTATATAAGTTTTGATTATAATAATTATTACTCGGTGTATTTATCTTAATAAAAACTATATCATTCATTATTTGATGAATGTACCTCAAGATTTCCAGAAATGTTTTTATATTTGAATATCAAACAGTGAACTAAATAATTATCATTTGAAAACAAATGTTTATAATATTTCATTTATAAGTCGAGGTGCATTAAAAAAACTCAATTTAAAAATGGCAAATATACATTTTTAAGAATTTAAAAAAAAAAAACCCAATTAACTTAAATGCATTCAAAAGTAATTGTTGGTTTGTATAGTTGATGAGTTCGTCTGCCGCAATACATACGGCGCAGTGAACTTGCGGGAATATTTTCTAGTTAAGTCCCCAAAGCCAAAAATAAGCAAATTCAAAAAAAATATAATAAATAATAACATTTATTTATGGTTATGAGCCAGACCGAAGGACATATTATATTATATTGCGTTATAGAATTTTACATTAAAATTATAAAACAAAATAATAAATAAATAAACAAATAATACTATAATGAAATTATTCACATTTTTATCGTTGTCAATTTACTATTATCGTCTGAGTAAAATATATTATTATTATCTTATCCGAAAAAAAAAATTGGCTTTATGGTAAGATTATTCAAAGTTATAATTTATGGGACAAATTTATGACAAAGTCCCTCACAAGTTCGTGTATATGTCTTTTTATAATCCTCCCTGGAGAGAAATTGAAAGTACGCCACTAACCCAATATAACGCCAAAATCCATAGAAACTTAGGACAAAATATATGTATGTAATATAATAATACATAATAGCAAGTATAACATCTTTTTATTTATAATGTGGTTTTAACGCGTACCAATGTGCCGTGGCCAAAACCTAGCTGATTGAACACGAGTCAGCTAGTGATTAATTTATTAGGGGTCGGCTTACCAACTATTAATCATTCTCGAAAAGCTCTCACCTTTGCGACAGATTAATGTAAATTCCGTACCCTCTTTGCAATAATATTCTACAGGTATTCGACACATTTTCTAAGTTGATAATTTTTCACTTTAACACGATATTTACAAAATACTGGGATTATCGCACAAAAATGTCTTTCTATACTTAATTAAAATTTTAAAAAATACCGGGCATATTTTATTAAATTTATTCACGCAATATATTACTTCAATATGGAATGCGATATTGGTGTACGAATTTTAAAATTGTACAGTGGATTCATATTAATGTTATTCGAATAATAAAACTATGAATATTAAACAAAAAGTAGTTATAATCAATATCAAATGGTAATTTAAATGGTATTTAAAAAAAAACTAAAAGTTTAAAGTCAATTATTATGTATAGGTATTGTGCATAAATTTAGTGGAGATATTTAAAAGTACACCGTGCAATAAAAATGTGAAAACTACAAGCACTGTTTTTACTACGTTATACCCTTATATTTGCATAGATAATGTGTATATTACTACTTTTATATATTTAGTTTACTTTCGAAACTAATACACACAGTTTTCGTAAAAAATTGTAGTATAGTGATGGATTAAACATTAAACATAAAGAAAGATTTATGATTTTTTTCAAATTTAGTTTTAATACCCATACCTACACACACTATATATTCAAATTAAATTGTTATAATAAAATTGTGTTTTTATTTTTAGGTAGAATGGATCATTGCAATAAAACCGTTGATATCTACGAAGATATCACTAGCCCAGAAGTAACATCATACAATTTTGGCAGACCTCTTTACTGCTCATACAAATTTCGGTCTTTCAAAGGCACGCCTAAAGACTATATTCTTCGAATTAGGTTTAAAAAATTTAAATTCGGTGTTTTAGTCAACGGGACGTACTGTCAAGGAGGATTTATGCAGGTAACAAATATCTATTATAATTTAACTAAATTCTATATCTTGTATATTAATAAATTCATATAACAAATAATAATATTCCTTTAGGCCAATGTCCGACGATTGGAAAATTTGATTTGTAGGTTAGAATTAAATTTGTTTGGCTTAAATATAAACCTATTTTTAGTAAAATTTAAAAAAAATCACACTAACTCTTAACAAAATTAAAAAGTGATACTTATTTTTCTGTGTGTTTTTAGATGATAATTATTTATAGGTTATAACAAGGTAGGTGTGTACGATACGATACATTAGAAATTTAAAAAAGAAAAATAGTTTTTTTTAAAAAGTAGGAATAGTTTTTATGAACACTTCCCTTAAATAAGTTATATTTTGGTACATGTCTTTAACCGTATTAATATTCTAACACTGACTTCAAAAGTAAAGTAATAATGAATAATAGATTTTCAACTACATGGTACGGTATTACTGAAGTTGGGTATTACACAATATTGCGAAAAGGTTAAATCATATAATGATTATAATAAATAATAGTTGTACCTATACCTACTTTATAAAATAGACGAGAAAAAGAATCATCTATAAATTATTAATACATGTATATTTACAATCTTATTCATTAAAAGTATTATCGTCATTTTTTAGAATATAATTTCCAGAATAATATTCACAAACATCTTATTTTCTGCAGCAATAAAAACTTCTTCCTTATTTGTATGAAAAAAAAAAAAAAGAGAAAAAAGAAAGAAAAGAAGGTGAATATAAAAACAAGTTTCTCTTTACCCTAACGACTGTCCGGGGAATAAAATTCCACACTTAATTATTCCAGTTCACAACAAATTGTACCAAGGTTTAGACATTCTACTTTACACTTTAAAATAAGGTTTATGTTTATCGGTTGGTTTTTATTATTATTTTATGCGTATATATATTATATTATTGTTTAAATAATGAAATCAGTAAAACTCGATTAGCTTCAGACGCCTACAAATCTTATAATATTGTCCGTGTTTAACAAATTTACATTAAATAGAATTGATATTATGCATACTATAAAATTATAATATCGCCTATATACAAATCAAATACTATCGATTATAATATTTGTAAACGAATTAAATTCATCGAATTGCCTACCAAGTGATATATTATTAGTACGTTGCTTGGAAAATAACCAACCAATTTACTAATCAGTAAATATATTGTGTAAATATTTGTACCTATATAATTTACTGTACCTGTGCCTATTGAATTGTATTATTTGTCTGTAAATAATAAATTCGCAATATTAAACGTATTATAATAGTTAATTGTCCAAATAAAATTCTCAAACGGAATATTTAATTTTGTAGTCATACGACAGTCATCGTTTTCTCGTAAACACGTAAAATAATATTTGGTTCAAAAACAGCTTAAATTTATATATTGATACGTAGATGACAGCTAAAATATATAATTTATAAAATACACGTATTATATATATACACGTACATAGAGAGAGAGAGAGAGAGAGAGAGAGAGAGAGACCATTTTTATTTATTTTTTTTTTTTTGAAACTCGATAAAGCGTATAATAATTTATTCGATATTTTCGACTGTTCATAAATCCTTATATTTTTCAATTTCAGTCAACAGTAAATAATATGAAATATTCTAATTGATATTCGATTTTGGAAAAATCAGAGAGAAAATATTATATTCACAATAATTATAATACATGAATGTCTTTAATATTAATACGGAAAAACTTTGCCTATCATTTATCATAATCACAATCAATAAACGATTATTATAATATAGGACATTGTTCGTGATTATATCGTGAATTATAATAGTACCGTTTTAGAACTTGACTTTGTCGGATAAACAAAAATAAACATATAATATGATAAAATGGTTTTTTTTTTTTCGAAAAATCTATACACAATGCGTACATCGAATATTTGATTAGAACACTGTGAATGTATATTAACAATATTAATTGCGACCAAGAGCATACAAATAACGCAATTTCGGATTTTTAAATCGTGGCACTATATCAGCAATAATTGTTATTGTTATACGTGGGTACGTGTCAAATAGTCAAATACGAAATTTTGAGTAGACTATTGCATCTACCTACATTGGCTGTCTACATTTTCCATACATAATAAGCACCATTTCATCATAAATTTAGAATTTTTTTTTTTCTTTTCTTTTTTGTATTATGTATTTACAAACACAGATATGATATAAAAAAAAAATAAATTTATGAAGTGGCGCTTACTTTGTTTTACAAATAGACAACCGGCATGCAAAGTGTAGTGAAAAAAAAAAAAACAAACCCAGTCGGACTGAGGAAAAGTGAAAAGTTACGAAAACATTTTATAAATATAAACGAGAAAATATGAAAACAATTGAGAAAAACTTTACCCCCTTTAGAATTTGTCTCGTCTTTAATTTTCGCGCCCAAGGGCAAAACCATTATGGTACGCCTTTATTATATAAGTTAGACGGACACTATATATACTCTCTAACAGGATATCGTAGTTTTTGGGGAGAGTTGAAAAGAAATCGCTCGGTGACATAATAAGATAAAAAAAATCTAAACATCTCTCCAGCGACACTGTATTTTCTTTAGACCCGTTATTTTTTCTCATAAATATTTTGCATATGAATCGAATACAAAATCGCAACCCACCGTCTGCAGGTCAAAAGATAATGCTTATCTCGGTGAAAGTATTGATGTTTTAGTATTCAGTATGAATAAACCCTGATGCGAATCGGAGAAAACTCGTTTCTATAACCAGAATTTTATTGTTATAACATAATATTGTAATATTATAATATTCAAAAAAATGACAACAGACAATAATATTAATCAGATAGTATTATAATATGATAGGTTCGCATCAGACAACTTGACTAAAAAATACATTGTCTATTATTAAATGTAGGCATATAGTTTTCCATTATAGTTCCGAAATAAGGTCATAATATGAAATGTATAAAATGCATAGGTGTATTTATTAATATTTTCCAAAAAGTGTTTAAAAACATGTTTAAAATGTGCTTGAAAACTGTTTGTTACATTAATGCCAAAATACAAATTTAAGTCTTGAATATCTAAATTACCTATCATTTACTTTTATTTACTATTATTATTTTTAATTAAAGTTTATAGTTTATAGTTTACCACCTATAAGTATTATTTATTTATTTTTAATATGTATGTTACAATGGTTATAATTCGTCTCCGAAATCGAATTACATAGATATCTCGTGTAAATGAAATAAATGATCCGGGCGTTGCTTTTAATTCAAAACTTAACTTTAAACTTCATACTAATTATATTATTAAAAAAGTATCACCAAAACTAGGATTTAACAAATGCACATGTAAAAAATTTCACGACGCCCATGTCCCTAGACTGTTAAATTTTTCTTTAGTACGTTCTCGACTGAAATATATAAATCTGATAGGGCACACCGATTCGATAACTCAAAATCATGATCTCTCTCAAATTCAAAACATTTTCTTTTAAATTTGTATTCTTCCAGTGTAAATTATGTATAGCTCTTCATTCTGAATATAATATTATAAATTTGTTTTTCTCCATTTAACACCTGGAAAAAAAAACGTTTAATTCCTTTACAAATTATTAAACAATATTATAGATTGTTTAGAACTAATTGAACGACTAAACTTTAAAATAAACAAACTGCTTTTCTATCTAACGATTATATCGACTAAATATATTTTATTCTCCCTGTCTAATATTTTAATGCCTTTAAGCAATTCTATAAAGAATGAAGATATATTTCACTCTTCACTTAAAGATTTTTCTTCGTGTATTCATGAAATTTTGTATTTGTATTTTTTTTATTTTCGATATATGTATATATGTACCTCGATTTATATTTTTTAGTATTCATATCACTGTTTTGTAAATTTAAAATTTGATTGGAGTTTGCTCCGTAAGTAAATAAATTACATGATATAATATACAATGATATTAAGATATACAATTCTTATATTATCTTGGGTAAGTAGGACCATATCCCATTCAACGACTAACTATACAACCGTATCTTAATCCATCGTCCAGTTCGACCACCGCCTGAAGGTTTCGTATATTTTTTTTTTATCTCATTCTCAGTGTTCCCGACGCGCGGTCTTTTCCCTATCGCGGTTTCATACAGCACTGTCCCGAAAGAGATCCCGATAATTATCTATATAATTATATTAATACGAATAAATTATAATACACATGCACACAAACAATTATACGCGGTATTATAATATATATTCCGCACGTGCTCGTTGTAATCGCGATCGTTAAATGTCGAGAATTTATTGGTTGGCAGAATTTCAAACTGCGTGCACTTAAGCGCTGGACAAATGTTCAAAGCTAATGGAAAAATAAAAATAAAAATAAACCTCCTACGAGCTCTTTCGCGCAAATATTGTGATCGCGCGCAGGTATAAATATGGTCGAGAGGGTCCGGGGACGAGATTAAAGCTGATCCCTTTTAGGGGCTATACACGTGGCGTTGATCTCATAATACTGTATATACATGGATAATGGCCGGTGTATACCCACTGCCGGTGCAGCTATATAGGGAACGAGGCCAAAACGCGGTGAACTGCCAGCCATTGGAGAATCTAACCGTGTTAGGTAGGTATACCTATGTGTGTATAAAGTATAATAATATAATAATACGTGCGCATTTATATGTAATATAAATAATACAGTAGGTATGTGTGTCAACCCTGAAACACTTAATTAATTATTTGCCCGCGATGTGTGTGAGTCGTTATAAAACACACAATTATACAAATGGTTTTATAATCATATTAGTTCTATTAAAATATATTGCACAGGTTTAACCAGAGGGGACAAGCCCACCACCAATTTATGTTTCAAGCCCCTCAAAATTATTTAAAGTTAAAAATGTATGTTTTACATTATTATTGCTATAATATAAAAATAATAATAAATAAAAAAAAAGGTCATATAAAATAATTTCTTTTTTCTGAGGGTCAATTAGGACGTTTATTTTGAATATTTTACTGCCGTAAGTAATCAATGGTATGTATCTATACATACAAAATAATCTGTTATCTATTAACTGTTCATGGCTTTATGCCGACACTGCCTTTGTACCATTCAGTTATATTCACGGATACCTACACGGATATATCTTAAACCATAGTAACATATTTACCCGATAACACTGATAACTGATAAGTGATAACGGTTGTTGTAATATCGGATATATATTAATTCCTTAATTAAATAAATAAATAGATGTTTAATTTATAATATGTAAAAATCAGTAAAAAAAAAGGGGGCTCTAAGATAATGGGGACGGGTACAGCCACTGTTGTAGGTGAGAAGTTGGGAAGGTAGGATATCGACGGGAATCTGTATGTTACGATTAACAATTGCTAAAGAAAAAACGATTCCGAGTGGAGTCGATTGATAGTGTTGCTTTTTTAACAATATATGTCATATTATGGAAAAATAATTATATATGCATTAAACATTTTCTTTAATAATATTTGTTTAATACTCTACCTATTTTCCCAGTTTGGCCCAACAAATAGGAAAACTCCTGAGAAAATCAAAAAATTCCCCTCCCTAAAGTACCACCCCAGTCAGATTTCCTTTCGGGAAAAGTGCTATCATTGTAAATCGGAGAAAAATTGCTCGTAGTTGTTCATAACAACAACAAAAGTTGTTCATAGATATAAAAAAAATAAATAAACATCATTGTAAAACCACTACATCCTCGCTTCACTCTAAATCTAAAAATCATCAATTAGTAAAATTATAGTACGAGAGACCACTAACCCTCCGAATTGAAGTACCTAAATACGCCTATAAGTATATAATATGGAATAGGTACCTAACATAGATCTATAAACTAATGGACTGTGCGTAAATGGGGAAAACGTCAGCCAATATTGAACATAGGAGATAGATCTACGAGTTGGGAAAATCAGTATTACCGTTATAACAAAACTGAATTATGCGGAATTGTTAATATCAATTATAATTTATAAACGATGTGTTATTATTATGAAACCTGTTGATTGTGATTCATCATGGAATATTAATTATTGAGATTTATTACTCTAATTAATAGGTACCTGTTATATCAAATATATACATATAAGTATAGGTCCTATTCCTGAAATTTTCCTGCATCAACAAATTGTTTATATCAATACAATTTTTAAACATAATTCAATGATATAATATATTATCTATGTATATGTCGTAGACCTATAGTCAAAATTTATAATAATTTATTATAAAATTTATACTATAAGATTAACAAGAAAATGTAGTTTGATTTTTAAAAATAATTTATTAACGTATTTGCCCGACTTGAAATAGACATTTAGTTAAACGTCTAGGCATTTAACTAAATGTCCAGGCGGATTATGGAATCGCATAAAAATTAAATTCTTTAACTATTTGCCTAGGCATTTAATCAAATACCTGATTTGACTATATGCCTACGACATATATATATATATATTTTTTTTTTAAAAATGTAAAACAATAATAATAGTAAATGTTATAGAATACTACGACTTGAGTAATCAAATTAGAGACACAATAATTATATTTATATTTTTTAATATCTCATAAAAAGTATAATTATTTTAAATTTTAAAAGGAGCTAACATGAAATTGTCCGCCTAAGTATATAGTTTTAAATATAGTGTATAAATATACTAAAATATTTATGTGATTAACCGTAGGTATATACATATACATAGTTTAACAAAATACTTTTAAATTTATATAATATTAAGCGTTCACAATGAAATACGAATAAAGTATAAATATATATAATAAAATATTATCTACGTATTTATCGGCGGTGTAAACGTAAAACGGAAATGACCAATTTATTTTGATTTAGTTGTTTTCATAAAATTATTACAACCTAATGAAGGGGAGGGGAGAAAAGAATACATATACCATTTAGTAATGTGTCATGGCAAAAATATAAAACAATATATTACCTACTTATATTATATTATTATACTTGTGTACTGACCTTTATACTATAATTCCGTAATAAATGTACACACGTTACCTATATCTTGTATGTTTTTATCTTTAATCTTTTCTAGATAAATGAGAAATAAGTTATCTGGGCTGTTATCTAAGATAAATAAATTGAATCATCTAGAGAAATTTTCGTCAATCATAATTTATTAGAAATAGCAGATATAATACTTAATTTATAAACTGGGCGCAACTGGTTTCTCTGGTTTTCTCCGATTTTGAGAAAATGTAAAGATTGTTTTATATCGTACATTTTAATCACCATATTAAATACAATACTTTTCCACTAATCTACTGTCTGATACCTATTTCGGAGGTAGGGGTACGGCCGTTTTTATGGACAAAAATTATTTCGCGGGAAAAACACTTCACGGTTAGCGTACTTGATATTGGACTGGGTGGTTGACTGGAAGAAATAGGTACCTACTTAATGAGCAAATGTGTGTGATAGAAGCCAAGACTAACTAGATGCGAACTAACCTTACATACGGACAGTAATGTAGAGTTCGAGTATACAAGATCAATTATAGGTAATATCATAGTTATTGCTATTAACATTTAATTGAAAAAAGTTAAGATAAGTAAAGGGATTCACAAATGGGAGGGAGTGGCAAGTGTGGAATTAGTCATGGCTGATCATAAAACCAATTAACATGCAGTATATTGAAATTACCACACAATAAGAT